TGCCCCCGGCCCCCGCCCCCCCCCCCCCCCCCCCCCCGGGAAATTGGAAAGTCTACACCCAACCTGCCAGGAACTGAATCTGGGACCTTCTGTATGCAAAGCAGTCAGTCATGTTCCCTCTTTCTTGCTTTAGGCCACAGGGGGAAAAAAGAAAGAAATGAAATTAATATGTGGCTCAAAAAGCAAACCTAGTTGTCTTGGAGGAGCCATGGCTCAGTGGTAGGGGACCTGTTTCATACACAGAAAGTCCCAGGTTCAATCCCCGGCATCTCACATTAAAAGGGACAGGGAGCAGGTGATGTGAAAGACCTCTGCCTTGAGACCCTGGAGAGCTGCTGCTGGTTTAAGTAGACAATGCTGACCTTGATGGACCCATGGTCTGATGCAGTCTACATGGGTTGATTCCGTTATTCATCACTGGCAACTGGCTCTTCATAGGATGAGAGTAACTCTTTCTGGGCCAGCTCACTGGTCTGCCTTCTGCCATAGAAACTGCAGAAGCATTTACTGGGAGTGATATAAAAGTCTATTAAATTGGTCTAGCAGTGGGCTGCTTTCTCCTTTCCATCGTAGCTCTTTTCTGGTCCTTTGGAATGCCCCTGAGAGTGGTCAGTTTGGGCATCCCACCCAGGAAAGGCCAGTGGCTTTTGTTCTCCTGCCCCTCAATGTAATATGGGTCTGTTGAAGGTACAGTAAATAGCAGAGGTGGGGTCTACCCAGCATCTAGCACTAAAACGTTACCAGCTGGAACTCATATTCATTTATTTATTTTACTTTGTTTATACCCCACCATTCTCTCCAATGGGGGTCCAACATTGTTCTCCTTTCCTTCATTTAATCCTCACAACATCCCTGTGAGGTAGACTAGACTGAGAGAGCATAACCGACCCAAAGACATCTGGTAAGCTTCCATGGCAGAGTTAGGATTTGAACTGGGACCTTCTTAATCTGTGCCAATGTTAGCTCTCTGCACATGCTCCAGGACATGTCCCTTTTGTCATGGTTCCAGGGTGTTGCCTGGGTATTGGAAGTTCTGGGCCCAAAGACTGCATTCACATTGGAGGGACAAAGGAGAACAGGAGGTCTAGAAGGGGTCCTGGTGTTCTTCAGGGCTGGATTGGGCTGACATAATTCATTGCTTTGTTTGTGTGAATGAAAAGGGAAGTGGAGAAATGCCAACGCTCAGCTTTTTGCAGAAGGCAAACCTCTGTCCCTTAATCTCAGACCTGTAGGGTAAGAGGTTTGTTTTTGAGTTCTAAGCAAAAGACACACTGTGCATGCACAGAGGCACTCGGCATCTATTGGGCTGAATCCTGGCATTGGAAAATAGGATCTAAGGCTGAGCACTGATGGACAGTGTGAGCCCTTCTGATGGACAACTTTGGGATAGAGGGAAGTCTGGGGGAGGGGAGATTAGATTCTCCTTCTCTTGCCCTTTTAACTTTCATACTTAAGCAAATGGTCCTGTTTTCCTGAGCTCCTTGGTAGAGTAATTCCAGATGGGTAGCAATAAAATAAGACAGGAGACCTGTGACACATTAACGACTAACTGGAATAAATCCGATTCGCCTTTAAGATGCTACTGAACTGCTGTTTTATGTTCCTTGTTAGGGTGAGTTCAGAACAGGATACATTGGTGGGGGGAGAGCTATAGAAATGGGTAGGGCAATCGGGGTGGGGCACAGCTGGTCCAGAGGCACATGCATGCCAACCACTTTATTGGGGTGCTAGTGAAACAGCATGTCGTGTAAAAGGTAGTGTGCCCCCCCCAGCTCCTTTGCAGTGTCTCAGAACACTCAAGATGTGCATGGTCCCGTATCTGCTTTTTGGACTGCATCATGAGGTTCCTTTGACAGGGGAGGCAAAATGTCTTCAGGAGATGTGCACACCTCCCCCTCCCCTAGCCAGGGCAAGAAGCAACAGCTAGACGCTGGAAGATGCAGATGGAATATTTTCATGAGACAGGCAAGTAGGATGCAGTGAGATCCCCCCCCCCCAGTTCTGACATGACAAAGACCTTATAAGGGCCTCGGGAAATGATAAATATTTAGTCATTGCAGAAGCTAAAAATGGAAAAGGGAGGATGAACGCTAAGGGGAATGTATAAGAATACCAGGAGGGCTGAACAATTAAAAGGGGGTGTGTGGTTTATCAGATGGGGGACCCAGCTGAATGAGAACAGAATCGGGCCCCTCCACTTTGGGGATATGGGTGTTCTGTAGCTCCTGGGCCCTCAGTCTTCCTGCAGCCCGTGTCTTTTTCTATGCTTCAAGCCTCAGCCTCACCCTTGTTCTCATGACTTGGCAAGATTTGGCTCTTTTTTGGCAGGACAAAAGTGGGGGATGGAGATGGGGTGAGCAGGCAGCCAGACAGTGTTCAGTTCTTTAAAAAAAGAAAGAAAGAAATGCTGGGGTTTAAACCCAGCCTGGAAGCTTTTTATGTGCCCTTCTTTATTGATACAAGGCTGAGTAATTGTTGTAAAATAAGTTCTGAGGCTAAATTAAACTCCTGCAAGTAATAGTGTCATAATCCCAGAAATTTAATGTTGACATAAATCAGCTAAGGATGGAAAATCTCGGGCATGGCTCAGACTGCCTCTACCTCAAGCCCAGTTCGTTGTTCGTACTGTGAGGGATTCTGGGGTTTTAAGATTTCCTGAAACTTGTGCCGTTCGCTTTGGAAACTTTTTGTTTTCATATCCGAAGAGGAGCGATTAGGGGACACCTGCTCTAAGATGAAA